TCCTCCAATCACGATCTCATTATATAACCTTATATAATATTGCATTGTAATTTTTTTGCTACATGATAGCCGGCTGGTAGCTTACCGGAATTATGCCCATCCGTTCCCGGTAGCTCAGCTGGATTGCACCAGTTGCATTTTTCCCTCTTTTCTTTTATGTATTGCGGCAAACTAGCTGAGGTGTTTCCCACCCCTAGCTAAGGTGTATAGTGTGTGTGTGTGTGTGTGTGTGTGTATGTGTGTGACTATTACGACCGACCTCACTGATCGGTTAATTTACGACGTGAAATGGGTACCCTGCCAAGTTCCTCGCAAAGTATGGGGAGAAAACCAGCCTGCAAGTAGAGCGAACTGAAGCTGCAAAGAAGGTATTCATTGGATTGCCTTACAAAGGGGAAGAAAATGACAGACGGTTCTACTGTTGTTTACATCCTGCCATTAAGAAATGTTACTATACAGCTGAACATGTGTTGCTCCACAGAAGCAAAGAGCTACTACATGAATACAATTTGGACAAGCCTCACTCTACTGTCACCGCCTCATGTGCTTACTTGCGGTAGCATGTACATTGACCGGACAGAGAGGTTGTTCACTTGGATTTCAAAATACGTCCCACGGAACCTTGCTCTCCGTGGCGCAACATTACCTGCCAGCTCCGTTGCCCGGCAATTATGCGCTTGCTCGATGTACCAGAATTCCCACGAAGCATTCGAGATCATCAGCAGACAGAGCAACCACAAGTTGTTGCGTTTTGCTGTGGCTTTCGACATCCGACGTCTGAAGCCTAACCTATGTACACAACTTGAGTTTGTGGCCAATCTTGCTTTGCCTTGGTGAGGCAAGACAGGCTGTCCAACGCAACTAACCATCGATTTCTGGTATTGACCATCATCATCATCACCACCATCATTACACGTTAGCTGGAGGTGGAAAACACCTCAGCTATTGTGCCGAAATACAAAAGAAAAGAAAAGAAAAACAAACAGTGGCACGTCCGCTGAGTCTCCAGTGACGGATGGACATCGTTCCGGAGAGCTAACAGCTGGTTGCCTTAAAAGAGTCATATTGCGCCTAACAAGTGAGATCGTGATTATATGTGGATGCTGAACAGGAAGGGGATGGACAAAGGAAATCACAACACAAACGCCATTGGTGCCGGCTCCTAGCCATATCAGCAAGTGTGTCCAACCAAACGTGTTCATCGTCCTTAGGACCGCAGCCAGGCAGTCGGGATGCACCAACCGACGCCAACTTCGAAGTGAGGGTTTTCATTTCTCTCGACCAAGTCATCACTTGGCCTCCCCTCCTCCTCTTCCAACCGCACCCACAACGCGCAAACAATGCACCTCGCGGGAGTCGGTGTGCTGGCATGCGCAACACGTGGCCCAGCCATCGGAGCCTGGTGCGGGATATAATGGTGCTGAGCGGTTCACTCGCTCTTCCAGCACCAAATACGCGACGTCGAACACGCTCATTGCTCACGCGGTGTTCCCACCAGACATGAGCTAAGCTGCGAAGGCAGCGATGATCGAATGTGACGAGTCTCTTCATGTCAGTCGACCTGATGGGCCAGGTTTCACAACCATATAAGAGAGTAGAACGGACGGCTGCGTTGTAAACTCTGCCCTTCAGGGCGAGAGTAATGTCGCGTCTGCGCCACAGGTGGCGGAGATTGGCAAAAGCACCTCGAGCTTTTGCTATGCGGTTCGTAACCTCATCTTCAACCCCACGGGTGCTAATATAGCTGCCCAGTTACTTGAATTCCTGAACGACTTCTAGCAGATCACCACCAAGCGTTAGCGCAGGGTTGGGTCCCTGCCAATTTTGGAGAAGTACTTTGCATTTCGATGGAGCAAAGCATAGCCCAAAACGATTGACAGCCAGTGCTAATCGGTCCAGTGCTCTTTGGCATGTTTGGAGGCTGTCACAGATTAGGGCAATATCATCCGCATACTCCAAGTCAAGAAGTCGCTCACCAGGAAGTAGCTCCACACCATCTAGGTCGTGTCCAGTGAATGCTGTTTCCATGACTTCATCAATAGCGAAGTTGCAGAGGAAAGATGATAGCGGGCATCCTTGTCTCACACCGCTGGTGATACTGAAGGGTGGCGACAGTTTGCCATAAACCCTCACCCTGCCCGAACTATGTGCGTACAGCGCTTTGATAATGTTTACCTATTTATCAGGCACACCTTTCCTCAGCAGATAGTCCCAAAGGGCACATCGATCGACTGAGTCGAAGGCACCTTTTATGTCAAGAAACACCACAACGGTGGGTCGCCAATAAACATGGCGGTGCTCCAACACTTGACGCAATGTGAAGATGTGGTCGATGCAGCCCCGACCTCGACGAAATCCGGCTTGCTGTTCACGAATCTGGCTTTCACGAGTGCCAGTCAGTCTGTGGAGAATGACAGAAGCAAGCAATTTAGAGGCAATCGAAATCAGACTGATCCCTCTATGATTACCACATTCCAAACGAGAGCCTCCCTTGAAAATTGGGACAATGACGCAGCGGTTTCAGTCTGTCGGGACTGTCTCCTGCTCCCAAAGTCTTACTAGCAACTCGTGTAAATCATCTACTAGAGCAGGTCCACTGAATTTGAAGAGGGCTGGGGGAATTCTATCTGCTCCTGAAGACTTATGCAATTTCAACAGCCGGATCTCACGTTCGACCTCTGCGCGTGAGGGCGGATCCAAGGAGACGGCCCAAGGAGAAGGGCGCTCAATGCCCGAAGAAGAAAGTGATAACGCAGGTTTGTTAAATTGCCTTCCAAAGTGTTAGACCCAACGCTCCAAGCGTTTTGACAGGCTGTGGATCGGCTGCCCACTCTCGTCGCGTATGGTCTCGCCAACACCAAGTCTCCCATTGCCTGTTTTCCGTATCAGACGGAATAACTTACGATGATTACCAACGGCAGCGGCTGTTTCCATCTCAGAGGCACGATGAGACCACCAGGTTTCGCGGTCCTTCATCAGGCTAGCCCGTAGTTTTGCCCTGAGATTTTTGCGAGCCTCATTGTATTCGCTTCCAGCCGGAATACGTCGGCGAGCATCCATAAGTTCCAGAGACTGTGTAGAGACCCAATGTCCGGTTTGGCAATTTGCTTTACCACATGAAGACACGCCTGCGGACAGTAACGTTTGACGAATATGCAACCAGTGATCTTCAACGTTGTTTAGTGGGCGCTTACTCAGCCCGGATGTCAGCGCACTATGGTATACATTCAGAACATCTGGCTTCGCCAGCTGGCTGGTGCCAATCCGTTTACATCGAGGTTGCGGACGTCCACCGAAACGCACCAAAAGGTCGGCACAGACAAGTGCGTGGTCAGAATCCACGCTCGTGCTCCAAATCGTGCGACAGTTTTGGACACAGCCCCTTCAGCGGTAACTGATCGCGATATGATCGATTTGCGTCCATGGCTGGCCCGAAGCTGGTGGCCACCAAGTCACACTTCTGCGGGTGCTGTGTCGAAAGTTAATGCTCGCGAGAAAGAGGCGAGCATCTTCACACAGCTGTAGCAATCGCTCACCATTATCATTACGGGAGCCTTCACCACGTTGGCTGCGCAGATGAAGCTCATCAGAGGACAATTTTTCCGACTTGGGCGTTTAAATTGCAAGCCAACACCACAGTATCCGTGCTTCTTCTGTAACGGAGGAGCTCATGAAGTTGCTGATAGAAATCATCTTTTACCGAATCAGTGCTACAGTTTGTAGGGGCGTAGGCCGCAATGACAAACAGGCACCGTTTGTCCCCGCGCGACTTCGCAGCAAGGAACGAACCATCTAATCTAACGGCGCACATCCTACTGTTTACTGGGATCCAATCAATCAGGGAAGCTTCAGCCCGGGGACTCAAAACAATGCCGACGCCAGCTTGACCGGCATTTGAAGCTGCATCCTCGCCAGACAGGCGCAATGAGAATGTGCTGCCAGTGTCGCATGTGGGGATCTCAGGTTAAGCACGGAGTTTGAACCTTGCAGGCGGATTTCTGATAAACAGCAAACATCGATCGATAGGGTCTCTAGTGTGCGGGCAATTGCTGCCTGTTGGCCAATCTGCAGCAAAATGCGCACGTTGAGGCATGCCAGTTTTAGCGAGACTCGAGGACCCCAAAGGGAAAAGGATGAACGGACGTTGTCCGCTTGGTTGAACATGGATTTGTCAACTGGATTGGAGCAAGGCCTTGCGATTATGTGTGATTTGAAATTAGAAGACAAGCGACTATTGAAGTAAGCTGGGGGAGGGACAAGAATTGGGGGATTGAAAATGGGGGGATATAAGTAAAGTTGGAGCGGGACGATAAGGATGAAGAAGCGCAAGAAGGGGTATAAGAAGACGGGAAGGCTTGAGCAGTAGCATCCATACCCCTATCCACCCTGCTCGATGCAACAGATTGGGCGCCGTCTATTATCCTCTGCGACGGACAGAGCATTAAGAAATTGTTGTAGGAAAGGTTCATTGTATTGCGTGGGCAGGATACTCTCAGGTTGCTGAGGCCTAGACAGGAGAACGATTAGGGTTCTCAGCCAAAGCCTTTGGTTCAAAAACCTTACCGAAAGGCAGCGGGTTTTGGCACTGGACACAGAGACCGTTTTATGAAATGAGGATCCATCCCCATTCCAACCCCCAACCTGGAGGACCAGGAGGCTGAGTTTGTCAGGCCTCTAACCATTGACCAGTCTGGTATGAGTGGCTCTGAAGGTGCAAAAAAGCGCCACCCAGCATAGCTCAATGGATCTCTGAGGCACGCAAACCATCGCACCACGGTAAGGTCCAGCATCATTGCGATGGACTGGTATTGACCTATTACCCCCAATCGTTTGAAAGTTTCACCCATTGTATGTAAGCGGCTGAAGAGAATACGAGAAATATACTGAATTCAGAATATACCGCCAAATGTTCGTTGTCCTTGCTCTGTTAAGATTTTTGAAGGGAAATGGTTGTATGATAATTTGACTGTTGGCCGGCTATGACCTTCAATGTCCGGTCACGTGCTTGTACTTAAAAAGGTGATCGATACGACCTAGTGGGAGCAATGCGACGGCTGCAGATTCGATTCTCCTGTCGATTCTGTCATGTAGGTACTCCACCCTGCCACGTGTAACGTAGGATGGTCGCACCACACTGGTCATCAACCCGTCTGCAGTAGGCACTTCGGAAGATCTACACGCACCAGAAAGTGCCAGGGACAAAGATCGGATGCACGGTCATCATGAATTACGACCGAATGCGTTGTGTTTTCATCGTGATTGGTGCCTTTCTAATTGTCGCTACCAACGATGGGATAATGTGCATTTCAGGTATTTACACGTCCTACTGGATGGAAGAAATCAGGGCCACAAGGTTTCAACTGGACTGGGTTGGGTCGATTCAGATGGGGCTGACATTTTGTCTAGGTAAGATAATGTTTAAGTAGCGTTGTGCACTAGGTCCGTTCGCTGCTCGTCTCATTCGGAAATACGGATGTAAGCTAACGACGGTTGCGGGCGGTTTCCTGTGTGGCGGCGGTTTCCTTTTGTGCGTTTTCACTGTACATCTGAGCATGCTCTACATTTTCTATGGGATTTTAACAGGTGAGCAAATTTACTATCAAACTATGGGATGCAGGCATTGGTTTCGGGTTGGCTTACATGAGCGCAGTGGTAGCTGTCACTCTGAGCTTCGTTGAAAGACGACCGATAGCAATGGGATTCGTAACATGTGGAACCGGGGCAGGTTGGTTACCGTTCTCTGTATCTGTTCTATATACCATCAGGTTGTTCACTATTTAGTGTGGCAATCCCGCTTATACTTGAGAAAATGGATTGGAGAAAGAGCATGTACGTTCTTGCCGCGATAACTGTCAACTTGTGCTTCTACGGATGTCTGTTGCTACCCGGTAGAGAAGTAAGAGACGGACGCAGAGCTACCAATGTACAAACCACAGTACCGCAGAATGTGCCTATGGATCAGGCATTAGAGCGCGAAGTACGCTTGCCCTCTCAGTTAATGACTTCTACGTTCGCGCTTTATTCCACCTGGGAAGTTCGAGAGGTGGAAAAAAGGAAAATACTGAACAATCTGTTGGGGAATATGGGATCTTACGCTTTCATGAACGAGCTAGATCGGCTATTCCCGGCGGGTCTGCAGCAAAAAAAAGGTCGACTGCACCTCTTCAAAGAATTTACATTTGTTACGCTTCTCATAACCTCCTTCTTGATCTCATTCACTTTTATGCCGCCTATACTTTACTTGTTCGATCGTTTGAGACAAAAGCAAATCCATGAATCACTGATATCAGCAGTGCTTTCAGGGTATGGGATCGCCGGAGCCATTACTAGACTTTTCGTCGGAGTCACTTCTTCATTCACTTGGTGTAACAAAAGTGTGTATATGTTTTTCTGGGTGACCGTGTCTGCCGTTTCAACCATACTGACCATATACATGAAGAACGCATCGCATTTCGGGGCTTACGCCTGTGTTCTTGGTGGTGCAAGTGGTATGTGTGTGTAAATCTCTCAAACTCCTTAGTTCAGGTGCATTTATCGTGTTGCAGCCACTCGTTCTAGCCGAGATGGTACCTTCAGAGGATTTGACGGATGCACTCGGAATAATCTTGCTAGCTTCTGGGATGGGTTATATGCTCGGAACACCAGCTATGGCGCTGGTATACGACAACTGGCAAAGTTACGACGTGTGTTATTTGGCTTGTGGAGCACTAGTAGGTGCTGCGGCTATCAATATTGCCATACTTGCGATGGTGGACATCAAAAAAATTCTCATGAGGAAATATGAGCAGCAACTGAAGAGAAGGATTGAAGCAGATATGCAACAGTGCAGAGACGACCGCACGGAGAGTTCGCAGAGCAGTTGAGCATCGTATCGTACGGAGGTATACAATTTAGCACAATTGCATATTTCGAGACTTGTACAACGCATGACAGCAAACTGCTTCTGTGTCCCTTTACAAGCGCACGGAGTTCTCCATCTCAAGTTGAACTAGCAAGGAGCAACACTAACGTCGCATTGGTTTACACTACTACTTGGAGAACTCACGAAACCGCACAAGGAGCCTCAAATGCGTGGATAGCTTCAAAAATCAGTGTACCCATTATTCTATCAGATGGAATTTTGGCTTCGCTTTTTCGCTTTCTAGGTCAAGAGAATTCAGCTGCCGTCAAAATGATCAAGGACTAAATGTTCAAACGGATAATGATTTTGAACTGAATTGTTAACCGCAACATTTGGTCACAGAATATTAACACGATCTCATTTTTGCTTAAGGTAGTCATCCAAGTATCCAAAGCCCATATAAGTCGTAGGGGTGCTTAGACGTTACTGATCGCTTAGGTACTCGCATAAGCTGAACCTCGGCTTCAGTTGCATCCGTGATTTGATCACAGACAAAAGAGAAGATGTACGGTATGGTAGAAACGCTGTAGCGAGATTGACCGGCTCACGCTAACAGACTTGAAGTAATCGACAGACTACCGGGGAGTACCGCCCACAACAATTGAAGAGAAGGCACGGAAGTGATGGGACGAAGGAGCAGTGTGGTGTACGCGGAACACGTGCATTGGCTAAGAACACGACACCGGACTACACGAACCTAGCTAGAGAAAGAAATGAGGGACCGTGCGATCGAGCGGTGTGTTGAATCCATCCGTCGTGCCGTGTGATTGTATTGGAAGTGGGTTGGGTCAGACAAAAAATTCAACATACATTTCAGTATTCTGCGAATAAGCTCTGTGTACAAAAGGATGGCAATTTAATTTAGTATTTTACGAAACATACTAAAACAAACCGAGGGATTCTCCAGACTGCTACACAGTCCTTCCCCAGAAGGAACTGTATAAATAGTCCTTCGATTTACGTGAGGACTGTCCGTCGGGAGCCAGCCTTCTGCGAGACCAGATAGTGAAACGTGATGCAGCTGCTGAGGGAGGACCAGGCGATCGGATCCTAACGGGCTGCCAGCATTGTCCTCCCAAACGGGGACGAAACGAACAAATATGTGTAGAAAATAGTTTATAGTAGGGTAGTAGTTCGGCGGGAAATTTTCAGTGCACTAGTTAAAGCGTCCGTCTACATCGTGAACATGCGACTGCGTTGACGCACATGGAATCATCAATATACACTGCAATATAAACTGCAGGTGCAAAATACCTCAGATATGGTACAGGAATACAAAAGAAAAGAAAGTGTGAAAAAGAGGCACACAGGCTGTCATCAGTAACGAATGGATGTCGTTCAGGAGAGCCAACAACCGGCTGGTGTGCTGCAAAGTAGTCATATTAGCCCTAATAACTGAGATCGTGATTAAAGTGGGAGGCTAAGGGGGAGGGGAATGGACAAAGAAACTCACAATACAAACGCCATTGAGGTAGGCTCCTAGCCATATCAACAAGTGTATCCAGCCAAACGTGTTCATCATCTTTCGGACGCCAACCAGGGAGCCGAGACGCTCCAACCGAGGCCAACTCCGAAGTAAGGGATTTCATTTCTCGTGACCAATTCATCGCTTGGCCACCCCGCCTTTTCTTCCACCCGCATCGCCGGCGCACAAACAACGCACGTCGCGGAAGTCCGTGGTGTAGGGTGGCACAAGGCTCGAGGTGGACAGAAGTTGAATTGACAGCGGGAAATGAAGCCACTGACGACCAAACTGGGTGCCGTTGGTCCATCTCGCCTCCCGGACTGGAGTCCACGTGACTCGCCTTGTGCTTGGCCCGAGGATTTACAGGGCATGGCTCGCAACCGACACCAGTGGCGCGTCTGCTGCCATCTCCTAATCGGATTGCCTGTTTAAAGTGTGTTGGGTGCTGAGTTATCTGCGGGGTAATGGCTGATTATGACGCGTGGCAGTGAAAGCCGCAAGGAAGCTGTCTCGCCGATGCCGTCTTATCTTTGCACGATAGCCAGCTGTTTGTGACGGTATGTTGTCTACACAAGGTGTAGGCGCCTTGACCCTGAATGTTTGCTTATGGCATTTAGGTTTTCAGATAAGTTCCCCTTCTCACCCTTCTCTTATTCTTTATTTCATAGGTCATCGTGGTTGTATGGCAGCGAAGCATCAGTTCAAATGGCTGATGTACTGCTGTTGATGATGATGGCGTCGGTTGGTGCATCCCGACTGCCTGGCTGGGGCCCTAAGGACGATGAACACGTTTGGTTGGACACACTTGCTGATATGGCTAGGAGCCGGCACCAATGGCGTTTGTGTTGTGATTTCCTTTGCCCATCCCCCTCCTGTTTAGTATCCCCCTCCAATCACGATCTCAATCCTTAGGCATAATATGATTCTCTTTTTACGGCAGCCAGCTGTTAGCTCTCCGGAACGATGTCCATCCGTTACTGGGGACTCAGCGGGCTTGCCACTGTTTGTCACTGTTTTCCTTTTCTTTTATTTTGTATTGCGGCACAATAGCTGAGGTGTTTTCCACCTCCAGCTAACGTGTAATGATGATGATGATGATGATGATGATGATGATGATGATGATGATGATGATGCGGAAGTCCGTGGGCTGGCATGCGCCACACGTGACCCGGCCATCGGAGCATGGTGCGTGAAATAACGGTGTTGAACGGTTCGCTTCTTCTTCCTGCACAGTAAACAAGGCGCCGAACACGCTCGTTGCTCACGCGGTGTTCCCACCAGATGTGAGCTAAATTGACAAGGCACCGATGGTCGAACGTAACTAGCCTCTGTATGTCCGCTGAATTAAGGGGCCCGATTTCACAACCGTACAGTAGGGTCAAACGTACCGATGCATTGTACACTCTGCCCTTCAGGGCGAGAGTGATGTCGCGCCGGCGCCATAGGTGGCGAAGGCTCGCAAAAGCGCCTCGAGCTTTTGCTATACGGTTCGTGATCTCATCTTCGATCGCACGGGCCCTGATGCGGCTTCTAAGGTAGTTGAATTTCTGAACGAATTCTAGCTGATCCCCACCAATGGTCAGCGCAGGAGGAGATCCCTGTCAAATTTAGAGTAAAGTTTTGCACTTCGACGGTGCAAAGCAAGGCCCGAAGCGGCTGACAGCCAGTGCTAATCTGCTCAGTGCAGCTTCGCCCATCTGGAAGCGGTCACAGATGAGGGCAATATCGTCTGCATATTCCAAATCAAGAAGTCGTTCAACCGGGAGCAGATCCACACCTACTAAGTCGTGTCCTGTGAACATGATTTCTATGACTTTATCAATAGCGAAATTGAAGAGGAAAGGTGGCAGCGGGCATCCTTGTCGTGCACCGCTGAAGATATTAAAGTGCGACGACAGCTAGCCGTAAGCCCTTACTCTGCCCATTCTACGCGAGTATAATGATCGGATAATATTTACATATTGCGCAGGCACACCTATCCTGAGTAAACTGTCCCAAAGAGCACATCGATCAACCGAATGGAATGCACCTTTGATCTCGAGGAACACGGCAACCGTGGGCCGCCAATATGTGTGACGGTGCTCCACCAATTGACGCAAAGTGAAGTTGAGGTCGATGCAGCCACGACCCGGACGAAACCCGGCTTTCTCTTCACGAGTCTGGCTTTCACAAGTGGTAGTCCGTCTGTGAAGAATGACAGAGGCAAGCAATTTGGAGGCGATGGACATCAGACTGTATCCTCTACGGTTGCCACGATACGAATGTGAGCCTCCTTTGATGATCGGATTAATAACGGAGCATATTTAGTCGTTTGGGACAATTTCATACCCCCAATGTTTCACTTGTAATTCGTGTTGATCATCAACAAGAGCAGAGCCCCCGAAGTTGAAGAGGGCTGGATGTAGGTAATCTGGTCCCGCGGCTTTGTTCAAGTTCAACAATCGGATGTCATGTTAGAATTCTGAGCGGGAGGACGGTTACAAAGGGACAGCCCGGGAGCAGAGCGATCACTGGCCGGTGAGGAAACGAAGAATTCCGGCCGATTAAATTACTTTTAAAATGCTCAGCCCAGCGCTCTAAACGTTTTGACAAGTTGTGGATAGGCTGCAAACTCTCGTCACGTATGGTTTCACTAACATCAGGTCATCTGCTGCCCGTTTCCCGTATCAGACGGAACAACTTCCTACGGCTACCAAGGGCAGCGTCCACTTCCATCTCTGACGCACGATGAAACCACCATGCTTCATGGTCCCTCTTCAGGCTAGCACGGAGTTTTGCCTTGAAGTCCTTGCGAGTCTCCTTTTGTTTGCTTCCAGCCGGAATGTGCCAGCGAGCGTGCGCATGTTCCAGAGACTGCAAAGTGACCCAGTGTCTAGTTTGGTTAGTGGATTTACCGCGTGATAATTTACCTGTTTCTATTAAGATCTAGTAAAAATGCGACCATTGACCCCCAACTTTAATCACTGGGAGGTTGCTCAACCCGAACGCCAGCGTACTTCGATACGCATTCAGAACATCTGGTTTCGGCTATTGGCTTGTGTCTATGCGCTCACAGGGTAGTCGAGGGCGACAGCCAAAACGCATCCACATATCAGCACATACAAATGCACGGTCAGTGTCCACACATTGCTCCAAATCGAGCGACACTTTTGGACGCAGCCATTTTAGCGATAACTGCTCGCGATGTACTAAATTTGCGTCTATAGCTGGTTAGAAGCTGGTGCTCGCCATGTCAATTTCAGACGCGTGCTGTGTCGGAAGTTAGTGCCCGCAGGAAATAGGCGAGCGTCTTTACACAAATAAAGTAACCGCTCACCGTTATCTTTATGGGACCCTACAACATGTTGGCCGCCTGGACGCAGCTTAGCAGTGGACAATCTCTCAACTTGAGCGTTCAGATCCCCAGAAAACACTAAAGTGTCCGTGCTACTTCTGTGCCTAAGGAACTCGTCCAGTTGAAGACAGAAGTCGTCTTCCTCGGAATCCTCACTACAGTTTGCGGGGAAGTAGGCAGCGGTGATAAACAGACACCTATTAGCCCCGCGCGACTACGAACCTTTGAACGAGCCGGCAACTCGGGCCGCACAGATCAGGCTACTTATTTAGATCCAGTCAACCAGAGCAGCTTCAGTCTGAGAACTCAGGATAATACCAACACAAGGGTGGTTGGTACTCAAAACTGCATCGTCCCCGGATAGGCACAACGAGAAAGCACTGCTAGTGTCACCTGAAGAGGACTGCAGAGTGAGAACAGAATTCGGGTCTTGCAGGCGGGTTTCTGAAAATCAGCAGATATCGATTGAGAGTCGCTAACTTTGGGGCAAGTGCTGCCTATTGAGCGATCTGTAACAATGTGCGTACGTTGTGGCATGCCAATCTGAGGGATGATCGGGGGCTCCAAATGAA